TGCCTGTGTGCTGTGCTTATTTTCCTGCGAATATGCCTTAACGCGCCTGTCGTTCGCCTTGCTTTTCTTATACTTGCCCTTACTCTTGTTTACTACTTGCACGCTATTTTCTTTGCTCTTTTCGCTGCCTTGCTACTATAACTCTTAGCTCCACTCTATAGGTACAGGTCTCTCCAGTCACAACGGTGACTCACATCACACAATCTTCTTCAACGTAGCCTTGCACGTCTCTCGACCCTTAGGACCCTGGACTCAAGACCCTTCAGCGAGTTTACAACCGACGCGGTGCACGTCCCCGGACAACTAGGGTCAGAAGCGACCCTAGTGCCGGACCAGGTGCCTCCCCGGCGAGGGAGGTGCCAGGGATGATGGGACGGGGTGAAGCTGACCGTTAGCATCGACACCACACCCGACTCGGTGCACGTCCCCGGACAACTAGGGTCGGAAGTGATCCTAGTGCCGGACCAGGTGCCTCCCTGGCTAGGGAGGTGCCAGGGATGATGGGACGGGGTGAAGCTGACCGTGACCATCGAGACTACAGCCGACGCGGTGCACGTCCCCGGACAACTGGGGTCGGCAGTGGTCCTAGTGCCGGACCAGGTGCCTCCCACGTGACCAGTATAGTGCTTAGAGTCTTTGACCCACCATATCCGTACCGTTCAATCGCCTATTCGGCAGTTTAGCCGCCTCCCTTCTTCTTTCTCTACGTGCACGTGTATGCAATCGGTGCTTTTGTTTGCTTGCCTGTTTTCGGGACGCAGGCCTTTGCCCTTCCCTCTGGTTTGGGCCGCTCTGCGCCCTGCCTGCACCCCACTAACCGCCCTTGCCTTTCAGCTTTTGCACCTGTACTGTCTGACCTTGTTACTCTGCCCCGTGGGGGGACCGATTTTTGCTAATTATAACACAACACAATTCAATACCAGGACCCTCGCCGCCCCGTGCAGAACGGGGGGGAAGCCCCCTTGGAAGTGTGTCTCTTTGACGGCTTTTGCAGATAAGAACTCCTCGTGGGTTCCCTGGGGGGGCTGGTCAAGTGCTAAACACCCTCTTTCAGGTGGCCGATCAGGAGCATTGTGCATTGTGCTTGTAGGCCGGTGGGTGGGGAGCCGTGGGTGGCGGCACAACGCATGAATTCATGTGATTGTAATGGTCCTTGGGACTTACACCATCTCCATAGTGGGGCGCCCCACCTGCCCTAATCAATCAATCAAAAAATTTCCATCTTGATTATATTCCGGGTGTAATTTGGCACACATTCCAGACTGGAAAAATTTGATTTTCCATAGTGGAGCTTCCGCACTATGGATACCTCACTATGGGAAATTTTCCACATGGAATATGAAATCCATGGTGTCTTATGGAGTCAATGTGAAGTCCGAAACCAAGTCCCCGGCACAGTTAAGAACAACTTGCCTATGTCAAATTTCGCTATAAACGCCGAATATGAAGTCAAATGTAACGTAGGGCAACTTGTTTAAAAGATACAGCGGTGCTGAGAATTGAGAATTTATCTTTTTTCACTTGGACGTTACCATTGCGACGTAACATTCGAGAAACTGTGGTCAGAATTCCTGTTTCAAATTCTATTAAAAAGTTGTAGGTGAAAATTGAATTCCATTACGGAAATTAGGAAAATCCATCGTGGAAACGCGAAAGCCCTGAATGGAAAATATTCTATACCTAATTCCAGAGTGGAAAAGCAGAAAACCTTAATGGAAAAAATCCATAGCAAATTCCACTGTGGGAAAGAAGAAAACCATAATGGATTAATATTCCATAGGAAATTCCATTCTGGAAATGGGAATCCATGTGGAAATATGACATCCATCTGGAATTTCACGGAATTTCCAGACGGAATTTAAAGCTTGGGGTGCGATCCGTTTTTACTTGCCACTCGATATCTTGTCATTATTTCGAGATTAATTTGTCATTAATTTGTCGTTCAACTGACCACTTTCAGCGCAAATTAATGACAAAGCTGAACCCCCTCCGCCCCCCCCCCGAGGGGTCCCCCACTTGCCAACTCTTTGTACACTAGCCCACGCCCAACTCGCGTTCAACTTTCGAATACTCGTGAATACTCGCAAAAACTCGCGGTCAACTCACCAAAACTCACGTTGTACTCGCAAAAAATTCGCGCTGAACTCGCGAAAACTCGCGGCCAACTCGCTTCAACTCGTCAACTACCCAACTCGTTGTACACCTATTTTGAAAGTAGGGGACCCCTCGCCCCCCCCCTCACCCCCCCTAAAATAATGTACGTAGTATATGGACGGCCCCTTAGCGAGATGCTGCCTTGGCCTCAACACAACGATACACCAGGACCAGGACTCACCTGCGTGTCGTGGTTAAACTCGTTGGGCATGGACGTGAGGTTGTAGCCGATGCCGCGGCACATCGGCATGGTGATCTCCTCGCAGCGGCCCAGGGCGGCCGACGCCGAGCCCACGCCCCCGGCCGGGCTGAGGCCAGGGTGCGGCCCGTGCGGCCCGGGGTGGGGGCCTCCGCGGCCCTTGTCCGCCAGCACGGCGTTGAGCGCCGCCAGCAGCGCTAAGTGCAGCAGCATGGTATCTACCTGCAACAGGACAAGGTGGGTGGTCAGTTGACTTGAGTAAAAAGTTCCGTAAAGTAACGGACCGTGAAAGCAGATGACCTAATGTTGTTATTTTTAACCCTGGAGTCAAATAAGTCCAAACGAAAATTAACGAATTATTATTTTCTACATTCAAGCACAATACACTGTAAGAAAATTATTTTGTAAATTAACAAGAAATGTCTGGTAATTTTGTTAAATGAATTGCTTGTTAAATAACAAGTATTCTTGTTCTTTTGCAGAGCTTATTTGATAATTCACATGTTTTTTCTGTACATTTACGAAAGTATTCTGTGGCTTTACAAACTTTATCTGTTGTTTCACGACTTTTCTTGTATTTCTACACATTGGTCCATCAAACTACAGGAAAAATCTGTTTGCCAACTTTACAGAGAAAACCTGGTAATTTTTTCTTGTCTTTTTACAACAAATTTTTACAGTGTACCGATATGATTTAGGTGGGATTGAAGGAAAATTAAAAGTGTCTTGTCATCAAAAAATAATCCCTTTGCTGGTGTTGGTGGGAATAAGATTAATGGAATTACACGACAATCCCAGAGTGTTTTGTAGTAAATTTGAGCCCTCCGGCGAATCCCTGTATGGCAGCGGGCCACGCGCCCAGCCGAGCCTAGCGCAGTGGGTCGAGCCGAGCCGGCTGGATAGAGGCAGAGTGGGGAGCGGAGTGGGGGGAGCGCTCGGCCGTGCTATGGCAGCGCGGGCGCGGAGCGCGTCACTCGCTCCGGCCCCACTGACTAAATATTCTGCCAGGGTTACATTGCGTTCTGTGAGTACAAGCTAGCTGACCTATTACGTATGTAATCTTTATTTTATGTTAGTTCAGTTACTACACTGTAAAAAATTTTGGGGGTAATTTTACTACTTTGCCCTGTAAACGCATCCGGCCGATGACATGTCACACAAATTTGTGTATCCAAAGTACACTAAAATTTATGTGTACTGAGGATAAGTAAATTTCCTACTAAAAAAACGGTATATTTCCGTATCCACAGTAGTAAAATTACTTCCTTTCCAAAAACG